CATGGTCAAAAAAAATTTTCGCTACAGTTCGGAAACTTCCGTAAGTCATTTACATACAGGTGAAGTTATTATTTGCATACAGGTGTTGGTTTTTATTTATAGGTTGAGATGGATATTTATCTTGATGTACATGAAAAAAGAAATTGCCCTTTTAAAAAATAACCAACGACAGCACTGACACATCTTATGTAAACTAAGCCAATTCTCTGAAATACTAGCAGCAACCCATGTTTTCTTTTAAAAAATTATATACAAGCATAGAAATATACAGTATTTATTTCTATGATATATGTATTATATATATATATATATACGTAAGTGCAAGGGGAATAACCCCATTTAATGTTATTGTTATCAATATTTTATTGACACTAATAAACTGGTTGATGATTAGATGTGGGTAATAATATAAGGTTGTGGAACCCTTCTGAACCACCTGGACAGTGTCGTAACTATGGAAACTAGTGTCTATGGCAAGCTCCCAAATTGAGCCGCTGTCTGAACATGTGACACTAATTTTATTTAGATAACTTTACCATAAAATAAAGTTATCTAATAAATATAAGTCAATTTCGTTAATCTTTACTAACAAATTATGACACCAGACGGAAATTACAATTGCCCACCTTCCTTACTTTATTGATACAATAGTCTTACTGCCAGATCCTCTCTGTACCTATTGTAGGCACGTCACTACATATGGGCTAATGAGTGAAATGGGGTTTAACGTCCTATTGGTCTGCTCCTATGCTGGACTAATAAAGATGGACATATGTGATAATGGAGACTGATACTATCTTGTATATTCTGTACTTCATAATTGTGATCGCTGAATACAGGTGCCGTTACTTCTTACAAGAATGTGACAGTGGTTGTCATGCTTTGAATTGGATCCCGAGTTCATTTTAAAAACAACCCCCCCCCCCCCCAAAAAAAAACCCAAAAAAAACCCCAACAACAACGATCAAACAGATGCTAGACGCGTATTGTTGATTCATCTGTTGTAGTACCTAACTAAATGCCCAAATTACCATGGAAGACAGCTATATGCCCAGCCATTGTTGGTTCAGAGCCGGGTGTATACTTCATTTAATTTATCATAAATAAATAGAACTCTCCAAAAGTATGCCCCCTGAATAGTTCTGCATCCACACAGTTTCCCTTTACAAGAATGTTGGAAGGGGTGATCATGCTTTGGGTTAGACCCAAAGTTCATTTTTAAACATCTAGTAGACGCCTGTTCATGCTTCACCTGTTCATGTAAGTAATAAAAAGTCATGTCACCTGAATCCATGTATCATTGTATAAAATACCCAAACACAGGACCAAGAAGATAGAAAGATACTAAAATATGAAGAAATTATACCCAAACCAGTTCATCGAAAGGTGCTAACATGCTTTGATATATGTACAAATGATACCTAAACCATATCCCAGTCCCCTGAAGCTAAACTACATCCACAGGATCAGCCAGATTCAGATTTAACCTAAAATATCCCTTCTAAGAATTTTTCGCGTTTTCTCTGTTAAGATTTCATGTGCTTATCTATAACAATTTAAAAAATATATCATTTCTAATTTTTTTATATGTAATAAATTATATTGTAAGTCATAATAAGTTAAGCCCGGGTACAACAATTAAATGTTACATAAATAATACCTCAAAGAATAAAAGAGAACATGATTTTTATGCTGCAAGAGGGATGTGAAAGTGGGAAATTTTCATATCATACAGTATGGGGACTAAAACAAATACTCCAGGACTTGCTAACACCCAAGATATTTAATGTTCTTTGAATATCGAGTATTGCTATATTATTCTTGATAAGTTAAAGGAACTTATTGGTCACCTCTGCAACATGGACAGTCTTTTTACCCAGATGGTAGTTAAGCTGGTGCCCATGTGATTCTTCCCCATCTAATAATAATATTACACAAAATTTCAATTGTAATCTCGGTTATATATGTACATCTCCCTTCAAACATTTCACTTCTATACAATAATATTGAGGCCACTCATCAGTCGAATAGTTGGAGCTGCGTATGAAAATCAAGTTTAATTTATTTTTGCTTCTTCAACAGAGAAAATATGCAGAGATTTGATGATTGGATGGAAGTTAATACTGGGGAATAACCATTTTTGATTATTAGTTATATTCACTAGATAAAAAAGTTTTCACTTTGGATTTAAAACGGAAAGAGAATCACATTATCGGACATTTCATGGACGTTTATTCCACCCAGTTGAGGCCCTGTATCGAAAAGTTTTGGATCAAAATGTTTTCGAGATATGGTCAGGTAACCCAATAACAACTTTCATTCTGATCATAATGGGCGTTTTAGATGTTACAATGCTGCAAGATTTTGAAGACAACCTAGAACAGATTTGTTAACATATTAACTAAGTTACAGAGATGATTTTAAAGTTAATAACATATCCAATGATGGTTTTGCTATTTTCTTAAAAAGTTAAAACCACATTTGGTAACTACTATAAAATGAACACCACATTAAAATGTTCTTTGGATGTCGAAATTGCTCTATTGTTCTTGCTAAGTTAAAAGAAGTGATTGGTCACTTCTGATTACCCAATTTGGTTGGTGACCACACGGTAAGAAGACAGTTGACTGATCAGAATTCTCGCGCACTAATAGTAGTCCGGTTAGGAGACGCCAGAAACCCAATTCTTAAGTTTCGCCAGTGGTGGGTGTGGTAGGAGGAGCCACCCATAGTACCCCCCAAAATGGGTTTATTCAACATGGAAGGTGCAAGTTCCACATCAATGGCATTTGATAGAGGAATGTGCCCTGTATTAGGAAATATAACTTAAGAATGGGATTTTTGGTGGAAAGGCCACTTAAGAAGAGGCCAATAATTAGCTAAGTATATTGCACAAAACTACATGGATATTTTTGATAGTGCTAGGAGCAAAAATATGAGACATAAAATAAATGACGTTTTAGCTAAAAGTATGACATACTCCCCAAAATAATAAAAATATCACTTGACCCCCATCGGTAATTAAAATGTTAATCAACATGAAAGGTGCGAGTGAGAAACCAAGCCTAAATTGTACGAAATGATATCATAAATTATTATCATTAACTTAAGAATGAGATTTATTTCTGGTGGTCAGTGTACATAGGAAGAGAATAATGCTGGTTTGCACCGAATGACCCCTAATTAGAAATTTAATTAACATGAAAGGTGCGACATTGGAACAAGGTATAAATTGTAGGGACTGATCATAGGATTCACAACCACTAACCTAAGAATGAATATTTAGGTGGTAAATGAACTTAAGAACAGCAGATGTGACCAATAACCTTAAAAAAATCAGTGTCAAGCAGTGCAATATGCCCACAATGCTAAGTTTCCTCTTGATCTCTGATAGTAACACTGATTAATTACCGCCCACTTCCGTCATACTAAGAGTCATTTAAAACATAGATCTATGTCATGTTATTGCAGATATCAATCAAGACCCAATCAACCAGAACCCATACTTTTAGCTAAAACTTCATTTATTTTATGTATCATATTTTTGCTCCTAGCACTATCAAAAATATCCATGTAGTTTTGTGCAATATACTTGGAATAGATCACAAGATAATGGAAAAATCGTTTTCAGTAAAATCGAAAAGTTGCTTCTTAAGTGGCCTGTCCACCAAAAATCCCATTAAGTTATATTTCCTAATTCAGGGCACATTCCTCTATCAAATGCCATTGAAGTGGAACTTGCACCTTCAATGTTGAATAAACCCATTTTTGGGGGTACTATGGGTGGCTCCGCCTACCACACCCACCACTGACGCAACTTAAGAATTGGGTTTCTGGGGTCTCCTAACCCAGCCATACACCACTAGCATGCCAAACCTTCCGCACTTTCCATGTTGAACAAAACCCACCTAGCTCCCAGACTATAGCCTATGTGATTTTTTCCCATCCTGTAACTCTTGTCACCAGGAACAGTTGTATTATCCTCTTCACCACAGACTTCAAGTATGTGGTTGTGCACTCCACTGCCACCACAACAGGAGTTCCTCTTAACACGTGTCATTAGGATAAGACAACACATACTTCTTCTCATCAGTTCGGTTACTTCCGAAAGAAAGTCATTTGCATACAGGTGACGTTTTTATTTACATACAGGTGTCGGTATTATTATTTGCATACAGATGTATTTATCCTGATCCACATGAAAAAAATCGCCTTGTTTAAAATAACCAACGCAAGTATTGAATCGGCACATCTTAGGTAAACTAAGTCAATTCTGTGATATACTAGCAAGACATGGTGTTATTTTTTAAAAATTATATATAATATTATATAATACACAAGGGAGGTAACTCCATTTAACATTATCCGTATTTATTGTTCGCAATACACTGGCGATGGTGATGAAACAGCTTTATACTTTAGTATGTGCGAGTGGTTGCCATGCTTTGAATTGGATCCCGAGTTCATTTTGGTAAAAGACGCCAGCTGCTAGGTGCATATTCGTGACCCATCTGTTGAAGTAACTAACTAAACGCCATGTCAAGCGAATTCATGTAGTATTGCACAAACTCCCGTGGAAGACAGCTATGAGCCCATCCTTGTTTCGTTCACAGCTGGGCATACACTCCCTTTAGTTTGTAAGTGTATTATAATTCGCACTCTCTAAAATTGTGATCCCTGAATAAGAATGCGGGAAGGGGGGGTCATGCTGGGGTTGGACCCAGAGTTCATTTTTAAAACATCTGGTAGACGCTTGTTTATGCCCCACTGGTTCATGTAACTATATAAACCTTCTGTCACCGAATCGATGTAGTATTGTAAAAAGGGCTAACAAGTAAGAAATATACTAAAATGCTTTGGAATATGGAGAATACACATGATCAGCCAAGTTCAGCTTTAAAATAAAATAATCCTTGTAAGAATTTTCCTCATTTTCACTTCTTAGTATTATGTGAGTATTTTTAGTGTGTTCATACCCTAATTTATATCAAATAAATATATTCATTTTCTAAATTTTAATAAGTTATATAACACATAATCCCGCTTACAAAAATAAAACATTACAAATATAAGTAATAGAACCAGTGATTGAAATAACTTTCAACCTTAACCTGCCAGTCGGGCAGGTGACCCATAAAAGTTGCCTGCTCATCTAGAATGTTGCCTGCCCACATTTTGTAACATATCTTACAAAAAAACTAGAATAATGCATCACTGTTTCAAACGTTATTTAATCAGCCAGGCTCTAACTAAGAGATTACATATCAATGTCAGAGTAGTCAGAGACTACAGAATCTTCATAGTAACTATCATCAGAGGATGCACACTCTTCAGTGCCTGCTGCCTTGGCAGCTTGAGCCTCTACTTCTACTCTTTCATTACTTTCAAGGTCAATGGCGTCGGCAGGAGTTAGAACATGAAAGGTCCTTTTGAAGGTGTATGGTCCTGCGAGGCTTGGCTCTCAGCCAGTGGTGGATGGCCTGTGTTGTGTCATACTTCTCCACCGCTTCAGAATTTAACTGTATGGTCAATAGGTTTGACACTGTGGAGAAGCTGAGCTTGTTTCTTATGTCTGTTTTAATAATTTTAAGCTGAGAGAATCCACGCTCACACTCAGCTGTTGCGGCTGGTAGGGCTAGCTTGAGATCCATCATGTGTAGGCAGTTGCTGTGTCTCTCTCAATAGAGATCCCAGATAATATTCCAGGACAGCTCACAAGGCTTGTGGCTGAAAAAAACACAGCATACTCTTAAACATTTTTTAATTTTAAATATTTAAGGAACCATGTATCATTGAATTTGGTTTTGAGTTGTAGTGTTATGGTTATGATTTAATAAATTTATTTCCATAAATGGTTTGAAATGATCAAATATAAACAAAACATCATCTTGCTTAAATGTACCTGAGTCACTTGACAGAATGTATTATGTTTCTGTACAAATGTTCTTTTTACCTTGTAGATCTTGGTTTTAAGACTCATCCACTCCGGGTCAACAAGCTGTAACTCAATATCACACCTTTGGGCAAGAAAGTCTCGGTAGTAGTCTGTAATGGCCTGAAGTTTGTCTGCTCCAAAATCTAAAAAAGTAACTTACATAAGATTATCTAACAAAAGTCAAACAATTTTATTTACGTTTTAGGAGCTGCCAATACAAATTACATCTACCATTCTTTATAGAAAGTAATACAATGAATGTCATCGGAGGAGTGCAATTGGCTCTGTGTTTGTTAAATATATATATTTATGAGACTAATGGGAGGATAACAGACCTGAAACAAACTTACCTGGCCATGTCATCAAATCTGCAATGGAAGTCGCTGAAAGGAGTGTATCACTGATGTCTGAGAATCGATTTGACATGGATTCAATGACTTGATTCAGCACCTTGGTCAGCGTGGACGACGAAACAGACTCCCCAGACAGCTGATGGCCATGAAAACTCTTCATCAACTGCACAGCACGTAGATGAAATCCAGGTCTAAAATGAAAATACAGTTATCTGTCAAAATCAGATACCACTAAAAATAATTAAGATTTAAGCTGAAAACTATTATTTAAAAAAGGCTCACTTTTCTTTCATCTGTTCCATGGTTGCAATGGTAGCCTCTATCTGCTCACTGCACTCATGAATGGTTACATTCCTCCTCTGTAGCTCTGCAGACAGCTTGCTGAGTGCGTTTAGTACATCATTAAGGAAATGTGCAAAACAATTAATGAGCGCTGTGTCAGGAGCTTGAAGAGGGACTTAGCTTTTGTCTGAGCTGAACTGTCAGCACCACTGCCATGCTCTGCTGCCTGTAATAAATAGTTTCTCCAATTAAAACAAGTATGAATTCTTTATAATTTGTTTAAAACATTGATTTCATTACTTTCTTGTCCATGACAAAGTTTCAATATTGGACAAACAATGCAACAATGTTGGTCAAAGTCTCAGTATAGCGTAGCATGTATTGTGTATATATCTTCTGCATGGGGTAACATACCTGTCCAGTGTGCTGAAAAATAGCTGGATATCCTTTCCACAGCTGCTGCAAAGCTGTGACGGCATGGCCCACCCATCTGGTGCCACCAATCCTCGTTGGCATCACTGGAGCTATTCCAAGGGACTCGAAAGACTCTTTCAGCATTGACCTGAATAAAATTATTAACTATTAGTTGTTAATCGGTGCATTAAAAATTTTATTACTCAATTTATTGATCATCTCTACTTCTAATTTCTCAAACAATCTCATGTCTGACAAGCAAGAGTCCACGACAATATGATTAGCTGCCACAAACTATAACAAGTAAACATTTATCAATGTATAAGCTATAACAAAGACTATTTAAAACATTTTAGAAACTGTTAAAATGTTAACTCGAATGATATATTAGTAACAATTAACATTCATAGTCAATGTAGAGTGTAGACAAAACAAAAATAAACAAACCTTTAACTTGTAGATGACACAAAATGTTGGTCCACTCAGTTAACTGTAAACCAACAAGAACAAAACCAACAACAAGGTAAGAAAACTAAAATTAAAAACAACAAGAAACAAAAAATAAAATTAAGAATAGGAACTTCAGAAAGTGAAACATAAGTAAATAACAGCATCAATAAGGTTTTTACTGACACTGTAAAATGAAGTTAGCATTTTATTACATACTTCAAGAAGGTATTTGTTGAGTAATAAAACCTTCTAGTAGTTTATCGAGGGCTGGCCGTCCTTACCGCACGGTACAAATAAAACCTTCTAGTAGTTTATCGAGGTTCGGGTGCTTCCGGAGTCCAAAATGGCCGCTTTATATAAATGAGAATTTTGGGGATAACTAACCCGAACCCTTACCCTTTTTAAAAGACTGAACTTGGGTCTAATTTAGTTTTTACTTCTCTTAAAAGGGTTAGGGTTCGGATTCCCCTAAATACTCATTTGTATAAAGCGGCCATTTTGGTATGAGTTCTGGCTTGTTTTGGAATTTGTTGCTTCTAGTGGTGATAATATTTGTACCGTGCGATAAGGACGGCCAGCCCTCGATAAACTACTAGAAGGTTTTATTACTCAACAAATACTTTCTCGAAGAATGTAATAAAATCTAATCGGGTGGATTTGTGTTGAGTCTGTTGACTATATTTAGCCAATATGCAAACCACAATTTTAAATAATTGAATAAAATTTTGAGTCCCATTAAGTGCTAAACAACTTTACAGTTTAAATGCTTCATTGCTTTAAGTTAAAACTATGATTGGAAAATATGTCTCCTGAACAGTTTATATCTGTTTAAGCTGTCATATTTGATTATGTTTCACTATGTTTGTGTTAGATAGAAACGATTTTATTTCAAATAAATCTTCATACAAACAATGATATCAGTAACAAATAGTCAAACTTACCTTTGAAGATAGCCTTTGTAGAATGAGTACACAAGTTGAAGCATTTTTATCACATCTGCATACTGTTTTGCTGTCTTGAAACATAATTCCAATCGGTGGGCCATGCAGTGAACCAATACAATTGAAGGTGAAATGTTTTGTTGAAGCTTCACTATCACCCCATTTTTCTTTCCAGTATTAACTGAGGCTCCATCGCAACCGAAAGCAATCAACTTGCTTTGAATGTTTATGTCCTTGAACATGTTCATTGCCTTCACGAGAGGTTGGTAAATTCCTTGTGAATCTGCCTTTTTGACATGGACAAGTTTCACAAAAAATACAAGGCTGTACCTCTAATAGCACATCGGATGTACACAATTTCATTTTCCTGAGTGCTGACATCTGTTGACCCATCACTCATTACAGAAAAGAATTTTGCATCTTTGATTTGCTGTTCAATTTTGATATTTTCAACTTCTGCAATTGCTGCAGTAAATAAAGCAGCAGATTTGTCTGATGCATATGCTGACCCTATTTCAATTCCCTTTCGGGCATCTATTTGTCGTTGCCATACATAGTCTGTGAAAGGACGAGAGTTTTTGGCCAAAGCATGGCAATTGCTGATTAAAATTTTTAGGTTTTTGAATGCCTTTGCATTTAATTTCTCCATGGATCGCTCAGCCGGCGATTCACCCGGTTTCATTTCTTTGGTTTTCCTGAATTCCACAGCCCTTGTATGGCCAATTGACTAGTTATGTGTCTTGAGTGCGTCATGTTTTAAATTGCTGCACCCAAGCACGAATGGGACACGTTTGTATCTGTCATACGATGCAGGAATCTTTGCTTGGGATTCTTTGTCGGTTATCAGCCACGGAAATTCTATCTGCCACTTAATTTGATACGTCCTATTTCTTTTATTATTTTCATATTCTTTATCCTTTTCCTCAATGTCTTTTTCAATTTGGGTCTTTTCTTTTATGTTTGAGTTTGATAAAAAACTAAAAATCTTTAATTGTGACATTCTAATAGGTATTTACGACGCCATTTTGTTTGATAACCTAAACGTGATTGTAACACTAGCTTTGATTGGTCTTTATTGTTCCATGTTACTAAGTATGGCCAATCACGGCACAGATAACTTAAATTTAGGCAGATACACTAGAGTAAATTCTTATCTTCACAGACTGAAGATCTGTCACTGTTATAAGGACTCAGACTAGCAATTATTTGCCCATTGACTTCAATGTTAAATGGCTGTAACATCACAGGCTGTAGCTTTTTTCTCAACATTCCGTTGGTTCCAATCTTTATAGGCACAATGGGGACAACATTTGGCAATCTCCTCATCATAATTTTGTAGGGGGTTGACCATTTAGATTTTTTGCTACACGGATTTGAAGTTGACTGGGGTGAAAATCTCACTTCCGACACAATGACTGCTCTGCAGAAAGACACTTTACACCCCCTATCCCTCCGCTGTAATATCATCAGTATTACCCAAAACTGCTATGAAATTGCAAATTTGATCCCTTTTCTCCAATTCTAGACCAAAAAGTCAACCCAAAAATGCAGGAAGAGGGGAGAAAAAAATTAAGGGAAAAATTGTCTATTTATAACTCGCACTACATTCGTCCATCATGAAATAAGGGGAAATAATTACTAGTCTTAGTCCATAAATAGAAAACATCGATAACAAACTCGCATCTCGCTTTCATAAACTTTATTATCAAAACAAGACATGGCAAAGTAAATTTCAGTGAGTGATAGATTAGAATTACCAGCCGCGGGCAGGCCGTTATTTCGATCAGTGAATAGAATAGAATTAATGAATACTGGCGCGAAAAATTATGCCCGTAAAAGTGTGGGGACTAAGGCCAATACCTCGGGACTTTTGTTTAACACCAAGATGTTTTGTGTCTATTTCCATATTGTTCTTGATAAGTTAAAAGAACTTATTTGCTATTTCTGCAAATTGGGCAGTCTTGATTATCCTGCTGGTGACCACAAGGTAAAAAGACAGTTGACTGGTCGTCGGAATTCTCGCGCACTGATAGCCCATGTGATTCTTGTCCATCTTGTAAACGCTTTTCGTCAGGAACAGCTGTGTAAACCTCTGCCACCCTAACAGCTAAAAGGAGTTCCTCTGATGTCCATGTGTCATTAGGGTAAGACGACAGGTACTTCTGAAGAATTTGCAGTGCTAGAGATTTCGACTTAGTCCTGCACAGAACTCTCTGAACTTTGGGACTGGCCAACAATGTAATTAAATTTCTAGACTTTTGTTTAGAGCTGCCTGGCTGTCTCAGATAATTTGCTATTGAATGGACGCGTTCTTCACCTGGATCATTTGCAGGAATTGCAATTCTGGTGGGAAGGGTAGAACACGGCTGAGATGCATTTCTCTCTCCCGTCGGTGCTTGATTAAAACTGTCTTCCTTTCTTACTTCAATGACAGTGGTCATTTTCAGCAGTAACGTGTTTAGGAATAGACAATCATGAGACCATTTATAGTGTTCTCCCACTGGAATATCATACCTCTCCCACTTTTTAAGTTTGATGCCGCAAGAGAAACATCGAACCATATCACCGGGTCCCGTGTAGTAAAATCCTGCTTTAGCTAGCGCTAGTGAACTAGTGCTTGGTAAAAACATACTTTCTTTCCCAGCAAATGAATGCTCCCTGTTGATGAATTGTGAATAGTAGGGATTGTGTAAGGAATGGTCCATCATTGAAGGAAGATTAGAAACCACGGGACCGAACTTTTGCACAAATGGGCATTCTTGCTGGACACAGTAATGCTCCATAAAAGGTACCGGTATACGTGTCCTTGCCCAGTTGCTTACAGTCCGCAGGCAATAACTGCATCTCACTTCGTCGCCATTGTGGTTACCGGTATAATAAAAGCCGACAGTACACAGAGATTGTGGAGTTGGACTTAAGCGCTGCCACAATGTGAAAGTGTCCATTCTCAACTTCGCACTCTCCGCTAATTTGGTGCTCGAGCTTCTTTCACTGCAGCAAAGCTGAGATGAAGAACTACTGTTAGATTCCTGAACAGGTCGCTTTTGTGCCTCCATCTTTCTGTATTCTGGCGGGAAAGTCTGCGGTCAGAACACTAGGTCGAAGACGGTCTAGCACACTTTACCTTGATATAAGCGGCTCATGCATTCGGAGTTCTTTGATTTACCGAGTGTTAAAAATATAAAGACAATGAACGCGGTTTTGAGTAATAAATAAAACCCTTGTCTGATTAATGAAACAATAATTTCTATAATAATATAACTTTTGGTACCAACAATCTGCTACTAAGATTATTCTGCTGGACTGGGTACAGCTATTATTGTTAATTTTAAACCCAAATACTAGATTGAGGATAGAAATGAATACGGCCGTACGCCATGCAGAGCAGTGTGCTATGAGGGACATATTGCACTACGGTCTACCCTTTTTTCGATTTCCAACTGTCAGCGGATTTTTAGCATGCTGTCAGCTTGTGTTATACACCAAAGGCCTACCTCGGTTATTGGAGACTGGATAGAAATTATTCTGGTTGAATCAAAACTAAATTTACCAAAATACTGATTGGATTGGACAGGCAATTCTGTGTTCCATTTTGTTGCTGATCGGTTTCTTGACTGTGTTTTCCTAGTTCCATTCCAATGACAGGTATATAGTTTATATTAATAAAACAATATTTACATTAATATGCTACTATTATCAATTTGCAATTGATCCAATGTTTAAGCATCTTTGGCATTCTCGGGCGGATCTATTGTGAAACCAATCAAGATTAAGCTTTAGAGTCCCTAGAGGCCGATTTTCCGGCGTGGTTTCCCCTTGTCAGTGATACAGGACGGAGGGCCTGACAAGGGCAGCAGTCTAGTCGTTCGGATGAGACGAAAAACCGAGGTCCCGTGTACACATTGGCGTGCACGTAAAAGATCCCTTCTCAGTTGGAATTCGATAGAAGAGTAGGCCGTAGCGCCCGGGCAAAATTTCCTTCATAGCACACTGTATGGCGTATGCCCGTCTTCATTAGCCCAGGTTAGGAGCAGAACAGTAGGACGTTAAACCCCATTTCATTTCCCTAGGCCAGGAGGGGGCTCCTAGAATCAACTTCTGCTACAATTTAGGTCTACTGTCGTGGTGGGACCATTAATACACAGAATAGGGAAGTTTAGGAGTGAATAGCTGCCGTGCTACAGCTGGATGTTCTGGTAAAATTGCAGGTAGAATCAGGATTTAGAAATTAATAGATGTCTCTCCAAATTTGCAATATATGCATTTTAAACATACTGTACTGTTTCATCTACTGTTACAAGCACATTTATACCAAATTGAAGAGTTTGTAAACTTTTAGAATATATTTAATTTATATAATTACCTTTTAATGTTGATGGTAAAGCAATTCATTATAGGCGTGTTACAATAATCTTTATGATTTGGGTAAAAAAAATCAGATTCAAGCGCTTACACCATTCATGGTGGACAAATAACACAGTTATGTTAGATCTTTCGTTCGTTTATTAAGTTGTACTAAAATAACCATAACAGGGTATTAATTTACAGTCCGGTACCTGTTTCCTTAGTTTCTCTCCCATAATCTTTTTCCTTTCACAAATATATTTTGATGATGTTTGTAATTCGTGGTTTTTCATGATTCTTCAGCTTGTGACAGTTCCAAAGGCAAGTGTTCCTGCATCATCATATGCAGGAAGTCTAAAAAATAAACATAATAATATTAATTGTTCCAATATATATAAGGTGTGCTTTTCATACGTCCGCATTCATAATGTGGCATATGTTGCCGTCGCCCCTGTCTGTGTGTATGTATGTATGTGTGTGTGGTTCGCCTACAGACCGCAATTCTTAACTTAACTGATCATCTTGAAACTTTAAATACTTAATCCTTATACCCTAAGCATGATCCCTATTGTTTTTGTCTGTCGTCTACAGGCCGCATTTCTTAAGGTAACATCTTGAAACTTTGCATACTAATTCCTTATGCCCCCAGGAACATTCCTATTGTTTGTGGTGCATGCCCACCACCAGGGGCAGAGCCACGCCCATTTTTCTCTTTGTGTGTCGCCTACAGGCCGCAATTCTTAATCGATTGTCTTGAAAATTTTTCATACTTATTCCTTATGCCCTAAGGATGACCTCTATTATTTTTGGTGCATGCCCGCGACTCCCTGGAACAGAGATACGCCCAATTGTTTTGTGTGTCTGTGTTTCGCCTACAGACCGCAATTCTTAACAGACCCTTTTGAAACTTTGCATACATATTCCTTATACACGACGGATGACCCCTATGGTTTTTTGGCGAATGCCATAACTCCCAGGGACAGAGCCACACCCATGTTTTCTTTGTGTGCCTTTGTATTACCTACAGGCCACAAATCTTAATGAATTGTCTTTGAACTTGGCATATACATTCCTTATAGTCTAAGGACGGCAACTATTGATTTTGGTGCATGCCTCGACCCACATGGGCAGAGCCACGCCCAATTTTTGTGTTTATCGTATATAGGCTGCAGTTTTAAATGGATCCGCTTGGAACATGTATTCCTTATAACCTAAGAGCGGCAACTATTGATTTTGGTGCATGCCCGCGACTCCCTGGAACAGAGATACGCCCAATTGTTTTGTGTGTCTGTGTTTCGCCTACAGGCCGCAATTCTTAACAGACCCTTTTGAAACTTTGCATACATATTCCTTATACACGACGGATGACCCCTATGGTTTTTTGGTGAATGCCATAACTCCCAGGGACAGAGCCACACCCATGTTTTCTTTGTGTGCCTTTGTATTACCTACAGGCCACAAATCTTAATGAATTGTCTTTGAACTTGGCATATACATTCCTTATAGTCTAAGGACGGCAACTATTGATTTTGGTGCATGCCTCGACCCACATGGGCAGAGCCACGCCCAATTTTTGTGTTTATCGTATATAGGCTGCAATTTTAAATGGATCCGCTTGGAACATGTATTCCTTATAGCCTAAGAGCGGCAACTATTGATTTTGGTGCATGCCCGCGACTCCCTGGAACAGAGATACGCCCAATTGTTTTGTGTGTCGCCTACAGGCCGCAATTCTTAACAGACCCTTTTGAAACTTTGCATACATATTCCTTATACACGACGGATGACCCCTATGGTTTTTTGGTGAATGCCATAACTCCCAGGGACAGAGCCACACCCATGTTTTCTTTGTGTGCCTTTGTATTACCTACAGGCCACAAATCTTAATGAATTGTCTTTGAACTTGGCATATACATTCCTTATAGTCTAAGGACGGCAACTATTGATTTTGGTGCATGTCTCGACCCACATGGGCAGAGCCACGCCCAATTTTTGTGTTTATCGTATATAGGCTGCAATTTTAAATCGATCCGCTTGGAACATGTATTCCTTATAGCCTAAGAGCGGCAACTATTGATTTTGGTGTATGTCCCGACCCCCAGGGACAGAGCCACGCCCAATGTGTGTGTTTAGCACTCGATGGCTACAATTCCGAAAGGATTATCTTGGAACTTGGTATACTTATTCCTTATACCCTAAGGACGGCAACTATTGATTTTGGTGCATGATCCCCCCCCCCCTTTGGGCGATGCCACACCTACTTTTTGTTAATATTTTTTCTGTAAATGATATATAGGCAGCAATTATTAACAGATTTGGATCCAATTCGGAATGAACCATCATAGGGTTGTACCTATTTATATTGGTCCATGTCCAACCCCCAGGGGCGGAGCCACGCCCAATTTTTGTGTTGTGTCTACAGGCTTGAATTCAGAATGAATCATCTTGGAACTTAGCATATTTATTCCTGTAAGGATAGCAACTATTTAATTTGGTACACGTCCTGACCACCAGTGGTGTGGTACCACAACCACTTTTTTGTCTAAATACTCTACAGGTTGCTATAATTAACAGATTTTATTCAAATTCAGCTTATCAATCATTTCAATAACAGGGTGGTACCTATTTATATTGTTCCAGATCCAGCCCCCAGGGGCAGAGCCACGCCCAGATTTTGTATTTATCATCTACAGGCTGTAATTCTGAATGGATCATCTCGGAATTTTGTATATTTATTCCTTAATCCGCAAAGACAGAAACTATTTATTTTGGTGCATGCTCCGCCCCCCTGTGGGCATGTAATACAATATCATTTGGAATCCAAATTTCAATATTGTATTCTGAATTCATGATTTATTTGTAACCCATTTTGGACATATATCAAGGGGGTGTTCTCATCCAGCTCAAAATATGGATTAAGGGTTTAGGGCTGGGGGATTATGGTCTGTAGCTGAAATGTGTTCACCTAATTAGATATGGATTAACCGTTTAATAAGTGTCATGTGAACTGTGTTTAATGAGTGATTTTTTACAAAGTAAGGAATCAATTTGGTTAAATTAAAACCTATTTAAGGGAGTGACATCTTCAATTGATATGTCAAAATGGCAAATGTAAATGTTCAGGTGCGGTTCTTACCAACATCTAATGGTGGTCATATATTAATGCATGCTGGTTTCGAATACACCAAAAAGAACGGCTACAAAGATACCATCTACTGGCGATGTAAGCAACACACACAAGGTTGTCCAGCAACTTTAAATACCAAGAATGACCTCCCGTTCAAGTTTGGAAGTTTTTCCATTTACATTAAAAGTGTTAAAATAAACATTTTTTACTATAATAAATGTTGAATAAAACATTATCAAGTGATTTTGTTTTACTATTAGGTTTAACCTAATGAAATAAACAGTGCCCAATGTGAAACAGACTACAGCTAATCCTTCTTTAGAAATTCCAATTAACACCTTAGTCACGCTAACATGATTATTTAAGTTTTGAGCTGGGTGAGAATGAATCATATTAAGTGACAGATTAATTGTAAGATTTAATCTATATCAGGTGTTGAAATAGTATTATGTAAGATTTAATGGATTGTACAAACATGTTTACTATATATGATATAAGATTTAGGCTTAACACGTATTGACACCTTTTGTTTTGAGCTAAGATGTGTGAATCTTAATAATTACTTTTCATTGTTTTGATTACTAATGCTATTAACTATGGCGTGCCTAGCTGACGCGAAAGATATTGCTCCACGAT